GTGCGGCGTTACAAGCTGGCGATCGCCACGGCGCTGGCCATCCTGCTACTGCAGGGCCTGGTGGTGTGGAGCTTCAGCGGCCTGGAGGACGACGAGCCGGGCGAGGTGTTCCGACGGCAGGGCAGGCGGGCAGGCCGGGCGCGGGGACGCGCGGGGTCCTGGCCGGGCTGCAGGCAGCCCTGGCCGGGAAGTGGGGCACTGGCCGCGTGCGTGCGGAGTGCAGCGGCCGCTTGAAACCCGGCATTAGACCCTGGCTCCCCCTTCCTGGGCGGACCTGGGGGCGTTGCGTGCGGGAGCGATGCGTGACCCGGAGGCCCGGGCTGTGGGCGGACTCCGGCTAGGGCGGGAGGAGCGGGTCACGGTGGGGTGGTCTCCCGCCCGGGAGCGATGAAGGTCAGGCGCGGGAAGCGGGGCTGGGCCCGAGCGTGCTGCGGGTGGGGAGCCCCAGGCCAAACTTTCTGAAGTTGGGAGGGGGCGGGGGTGTGCGCGCCGTGGGCAGAGGAGTGAGGCCGAGCAGCCACGGGCATCAGTGCCCAGCTGCGCGTCAGGGGAAACAGCTGGCGGGGACCTGGAGTCGGGGGTGGGAGTCAGGCCTGGGACAGTGGGATGTGAGGGAATAGGAAGCGACTGGAGGGAGCGAACTGGTGTATCCCTGAGGTGTGGCTTCAGCCAGGGGTCCGAAGAACTTGGGTGGGTCTTCAGGAGGAGATGGGAGGAGGAAGTGAGTTGGGCTCGGAACATTAGGGAATGGGTGGGGGGAGCCCTCTGGCTGTAAGGGAATGGCGACTGAGCAGCCGATTTAGCAGAGAGCCCCCCTTCGGGTGCAGAGTGGGGCCGTCCTGCTCAGTCTCTGTCTCTAGGTCCCGGCCCTCAGGCGCTTCTGCACCTCGGCTGATGGAGCTGGAGGTTGAACCGGGGACCTCCGTAGTGTGGTTAGGGAGGGTCCAGTGGGGCCTGGGTCCACCCTGGAAGGGCAGGGACATGGGCTAAACTGTAGTCCTAGGCTGTGGGCCAGAGGTCAGGAGTCTGGGTCAGATGCTCTGCTGGCCTGTCCTCTCCGGCTTCCCCACCTGGCAGGTGAAGCCCAAAGGAGCCTCTGTCCACTTCCTCTTCCTGCATGTGGACAGTAGAAGGCCCGGTGTGGAGGGGACAGCAGAAGACCTGCCCTTGACACTTCAACGTGTTTGGGAGAATCAAGGGGCTAGGATGGTGAGGGGAGCTGGGCCAGTCACCTGAGACCGTAACTCCAGAAGCAGCTGTGGGGTGGGAGGCTGGCTCGGTGACACCCAAAGGCAGCGAGCTGGTTGTGGGGAACAGTGAGCAGGAGGAAGAGGAGAGCTGCTCAGGCTCAGTGTGAGACAGCTCTTGGGGACGATGGGCAATGGGACAGTCTAAGATGGAGTGGGCTGCCGGGCAGCGAGAGAGCCTCTGACCTGAGTGTGTGCAAGGCCAGTGACCACCTGGAGAGGTGTATGTTACAGCATCTGGGCGTTCTTGGAAACCAATGGCCCTGAGTTGTGGGGCTCAGTGAGTCCCTGCCGCCCTGCCTGTAGCCCAGGGTGGAGAACAGGAACAGTGGAGTGGTTGGGATGTGCATGACCCCACCCTCCTCCTCCTCCTTCCTCAGGCCTGAGGCCCACATGGGAATCTGAACTGGGATGGAAGAAGATCCCGGATGTCCTAGAGGTGGTGCAGTCCAGGCAACCATCGGTGATTGGACCTCCTCAGCAGCTACCTCACTAGACTTTGAGGTGGCCAGGCAGCTTAGCATAGTGCCTGGGGAGGTGGGCGCTGGAGCGGAACCTGCTGCTCCACCATCCTGCCCTAGCGCTGCTACTGAGTAGACCACCAGCAATCACCTCTCCTCTTTCTGAAGCCTCCTCAGTACCCCCCTCAAGGTGGGGATAATAATCACGCCTCTCTCGTTGGATGATTATAGAGATTAAAGAAAGTGCTGCCCGGGAAGCACTTCAGGAGTTCCTGGCACATGCTAAACGGACAGTAAATAACTCTTAATATTATCTGCGCGCTGCATACTGCAAACAGGGATTCACTCGTCCAGTCATTTACTCAACAGATATTTAAGTCGTCCTTCCTCCCAGGCCGTGTGCTAATGGTGGGGAGACAGAAATAAAGAAAATATGTGAGGTCTTCGCCCTCATGGGCAGGCAGTCTACAGGGAGAGACGGTCAGTGGAAAGGAAACTCACTAGAATAACGAGGGGGGCTGGTTTGGACCATGTGGTCGGGAAAGGCTTCTTGCAAGGAAGAGGGAGCAAGAGAGTTCAGCCGGACACCCTCTGACAGGAGGGCGCGGTGCTTTTTCTAGAAGAAGGTTCGATTCCATGTGGCCAAAGGGGCTGCATCCAGGGGCTAGAGCTGTATTCTGAGTGCACTGGGAGGGCACCAAAGAGCATTGAGCTGCGCTGGGATGCCGTGTGTATTTAGGGTGCACGCTGCTCTGTGGAGGGCCTACAGTGGATACCAGGGTGACCACTAACCTGCAAAGAGCCCCTCGATCGCTTTCACAAACCATCAGCACTTGTTTTACGTGCAGCCTGAGAAGTCCGAAGGAGGTGCAGTGTGGGGTGAGCCTTTCTGTGTTCCCTGTCTCTGTGGCTCAGGGGTAGAGTCCAGGAGCTTCAGAGCCAGGAAGTGGCAGCAGTCTTTAAGTGCCTCCTTGGTGGGGACGAGGGGGCCTCTGAGGCCAGAATGCAACCAGGCAAGGTCAGAGGACCAATCCCCTTCCTGAGAAATCAGAGGGGACCCTGACGTCAGGGCTGCCAGGACCACAAGTCTGGGGCCCTGCCGATGCTCATATGAACATGCCTGAGAGGGGCTGGGGTGGGGTGAGCTGCCACCAGATCCCTCACTGCTGCCTCCTGGTCCCCCAGCCTCCTCGGGGACTGCCCTTCTCAGGGTCAGCCAGCTCCCTGCTGCAGTGCAGGGCACCAGCCTGCTTGCCCATCTACATCCTGTACCCCACCACAGCCAGCCTGGCCCTGCGCCCCGTGCCCTGCCCTCCTGACTCACTGATACCGGCTTCTACTCTGAGAGCTCGTTCCTCTCCGTGGTCTCTGCCGACCCAGGCTTCTCTGCTTGCTGTGTGGCCGGGTCAGCTCTCCCAGGGCTGGCGTGCACTCAGCTCAGTGGGGCTGCAGACACCTTTCCTGGGGGCTGCCCTCTGCTCTGTGAGCACTGTCACTGCTGTCCTGTCTCCTCTTGCAAGTTATCTCTTCTCAGATGGGGCTAGACACTGCAGCTCTCATTGGCCCTCTCAAGAAATCAGGGCTGACTGGGTGCTGGGCACAGAGGGTATGGGTGTTAGGGTAGGAGGGTGTGGCTCTGGCCTGAAGGCAGCTGTCATGCTGACAGTATGAGGGCCTTGACATGTTTGAACAGGGGAAGGAAGGAGGGGCCTAGGGAGGTGGGAAACAGGGAAAAGCCAACCCAGGGAGGTCCAAGATATCTCAGGGCTTTGGGCCTCTCTCTCGACTTCACATTTGGTCTTTCCTCCCCTTACAGTAGTAATAACGATAAGGATAGCAGCGTTCACGAATGCTGCGGCCAAGCCAGGCCCTTTACATTCATTCATTCATGCAGAAAATGCTTACTTGATGTCTGCTCTTCCCAGACATTCTCCCAGGCTCTCAGAACATGGTGACCAGAACAGGATCCCTGCCTCTGTGGTGTTTACATTCTGGTGAGGGCACAGGCAGAGTAGCACAATGTAAATAAATGAATGATCAGATGGTGGGAGGCATGAAGGGCCACGGAGAAAATTGAGCAGAGGGAGGGGAGGGCTGGAGTTTCATGTAGAAACTTCAGGAGGCTCAGGATGGACTCATGAGAAAATGCTGAATGAGCAAAGAATTGGAGGAGGCAGGGGCCTAGTTGCAGGGAGAGCTGAGGGAAGGGGATTCTGGGTGCAGGGGACAGTGCAAGGGCCAGGCTAAGGCGTGCTGTGTGGGATGGAGGGATGCCAAGAAATCACTGTGGCTAGAGGATAGTGAGTATGGGAGGGTTGAAAATGAGGTCAGAGGGGGCAGAGCGGCAGGAGGGGGCAGCCTTTGCAGGCTCTTATGAGAACTTTGGTTTTCATCCTACGAGGGGAAACAACCGACCATTTCAAGCAAAGGAATTAAGAGGTGGGCCTTGGGACCAGCAGATGGTGTAATGGTTACGTTGCTGGACTCCCATGTAACAGACCATGGTTCGAGTCCCAGACTTGGCTGCTTAAAACTCACGCCGGATGCATGTGTGTGCATGCCCAAAATTCCAAGAGGAGAATGGAGGATAAGGGATTGGAGCATGGCCCAAGCCACCCCTGGGGGGTGACTTCTCTCTTTCTGTCTGTTTCTGTATCTGGTGAGTGCACATGCCCCATAGCAAAAATCTTTCTCAAAAGAAAAAAAAAAAAAGAAGAGGTGGGCCTTAAGTTTTAACAAGAATGCTGGTGGGCTGGCCTGTGGCAGTAAAGGGAGTCAGATCCCCTCATGGCCAACTGCACAGTTCAAATCCTGAACAAGTGGCCTGGGAAATATGCTGGGTATGTGTGCAGGTGTGCCCCAAAAATCCCAGTGGGATGGAGAAACGGAGAAGAGATTGTGGCATGACCATGTCGCATTAAGGGGTGCTTTTTCCCTCTCCCTGTCTCCTTGGCAAGCACATGTGCCCTCTGGCAAAAATTCAAAAAAAGGCAAAGGAACTCTGGCTGCCATATGTGAAAACTCAGGGTACTTAAAAATTTTGGAAAATCCATACTATGTAAAGACATGTGGATTTCTGGGACCAGCAATTAGCGTAATGGCTATGTCGCTGAACTCCCACATAGTCAACCGCAGTTCGCGTCCTGGACCCGGTGGCTTAAAACTCACGCCTGGCGCATGTGCGTGCATGCCCAAGATCCCGAGAGGAGAATGGAGGAGAAGGGATTGCGGTGTGGCCATCCCCCCTGGGTGGTGATTTCTCGCTTTCTGTCTCTCTGTCTCTCTCTGTCTGTCTAGCAAGCGCACGTGCCCTATAGCAAAAACCTCTCCAAAAAAAAAAAAAAAAACACATGGATTTTGACATTTTTTGCACCAAAATAACTCTTGCATTTTTTCT